ATTTTCCTTTTTAATTTCAGATCTAACCAATATAGAAGTATATAGGAAAAAGCATTCTCATTCTGCTCATCAGGATAAAATTGAATGTATATCCGCACACACATATAATTTGTCTTTAAATAAAAATAACATCTTCATTGTGCTTTTCCCCACTCTGTAGTATAGCATTATCACATTTAATGCTGTTTCTTATTCATCTTTGATGTTTTTGTTGGATTGTTTGGTCTTCTAATTTTTGACAAGCTGATAAATTTCAAAAGTCATTTAATATTACTTAATTTTGGCCCTACTTTATTCCTTTATTATTTTTTTCATACAGTTATGATTTAATTAATTTTGTCCCTGCTTTATTTTTTTATTTTTTTATACATTTATGATTTATTTCTTCTGAAAATTGTGTTTTATTTATTCATATTGTGATCATGATTGTTTAAAGCTTTTTGTTGTTTTTTACAGATCACATTGGTTTCTCAACAGTCATTCAGACATTTTGTTTTAGAACATTTCTTGCCATTATTATAATTAATTACAATGCCTCATTAACTGCTTATTGTAAATTCCCTTTCTCTTTCAAAACCTTAAATCTTTTGTTCCATCTAATGTATCATTTGTTTTATAAATTTGCTGAAATATTGTATTACATTGACATTTGTGTCTACTTCCCTTTTAATGGTTTTTAGAACTTTGACTTGCGACTCATAGCGACCCTATGTACAACAGCCCTAAACTCTGTTCTGTCCTGTGCCAATCTCATTTTCTCCAACACACTCATCCCGAGTTATATAATTTTAAAATCCATTAAGACAGTTTCCTCTCATCTTCCTATCCCCATGAAATTTACCTTCCTTCCCATGGTGTTACCTCAAATTAGTTTACATTAACATTTTTATTAAAAATGGATGATCTATTGATTTGGGAATTAATATTGCTTAATTGTAGAATAAGATGTGACTTTCATTTTCAAGGTCTTATTTGACAATGATCATGATCACTTTATTATATAGTATTGCCAAGTTAAAAGTATTTGGACTATATACAACAGTCAAATTATAGGTTTTCTATTAGGAAAAATAATACTTAAACTTAATAATACTTTAATAAATACAAATTTAATTTTAGTTTGGGGTATGATTTCTTTTCAGATTTATGTAGTCCGAATTTTGAGGGAAGGACAGCTTGAGCCATCTTTTGTCTTCCGGACTTTTGACGAGTTTCAAGAGCTTCATAATAAGCTCAGTATTATTTTTCCACTCTGGAAGTTACCAGGGTATGTTTGTACCTTTTTTTTTATAAAAAGTGGTTTCTTTATTATCAAATATAAATCAAGACTTTGTCTTAATAAATCATTGTGGACTGTGCCTGGCATGTTTTGTGTCCTAAGGCCTCATACAGACAAGCTACAAGTTGTTATTTTTATGATTCAATGATAATTGTATTATACTTAAAGATTTTTCAGATTTTTTTACTTTAAACGAAGTTTTGAATTTGTTGTCTCTCCATAGAAAATAAAATAGTCATTTGGAATCTTAGTTTTAAAAAGTCAGATGTTATATCACTGCAGAAATAATCTGCTTTGTGCCATACCTGCGCTCCTCTAAAGAAGAATGTGCTTTAATGACCACAAGGTTTCTTGTGTCTGGTTGCTAATACTCTTCTCAAACTAAATTTCCGAAGTAATAAAGAGATAAAATGGGCATCAAAGTTTATTTTTGTTTCCTTTACTACTGCTACCGACATAAGCAGAGTTGATGTGATCCTTTTTCCAGCACTTAATTTAGGCCCTATGTCATTATTGATGGCTTTTACTGGTATCTGCAACACAGGATTGAGTAATGTTTTTCAGGTATCAGATCTGGATTAAATATTTGTGGGTGATTAAACTTTAAAAAACGTTGAAAAGTAAGCAAATAATCTGTTTCCCGTGTCAAGTAGTAAATATAGATTTAAAAGGCCATAATTTCTTGAAAGGGAAAAAAACCCCACACAAAACACCTTCATTATGAATTCAAGATTCCATTTTGCATTTAAGTATTTTTTTAAAGTGTATTTCTAAGTAAATATTGTGCTTCACTCTAAATATTTCCAGATTAAACCATTTTAATCCCACTTGTTTCTCTTTTGTAGCTTTCCTAATAGGATGGTTCTAGGAAGAACCCACATAAAAGATGTAGCAGCCAAAAGAAAAATTGAGTTAAACAGCTATTTACAGAATTTGATGAGTGGTTCAACAGATGTGGCAGAGGTGACCTTTCTAAATGAAAATATTATACTCCAACTTTTGTATTATGTAATATTTAAACTAATGCTTTCTCTTTTTTTCAACCTTAGTGTGATCTTGTTTGTACTTTTTTCCACCCTTTACTTCGTGATGAGAAAGCTGAAGGAATAGCTAGGTCTGCTGGTGAGATGTGTTTCTTTTTCCTCTTTGTAGATAATTCTTACTTTCCCTATAACCTGCAAGGCTACAATATCTCAGTGGATGTGGTAGAGTGACAGTGGAGTTATTCTCCTCCATGAGAATGGCTGGGAGGATATTCTGTCTAAGCCAGTCTATTTCTAGATAAACATAACTTTCACAATACAATATGACTAGTCACTGAAGTTTTGGAAGCAGGAATGGCATCCACTTCCTAAACAACAGGCCTCCAGAAACTCCACGAACTTTGATAAATGTTGATAGTTGTAGAGGGGCTTCAGGCCTTTTGTTCATAGGGTTGTTATGAGTCATGCCCAACTCGAAGGCAATCAGCAGTCACTAAAGTAATATAAATCAGTGTCCTACTGGGTTCTTTATTTTTATTGTTTTAGTTTATCTACATTGAAGAGTCTGCATAAGTAAATAAAAATCTTTTTGTTGTAGTTTGATTCTATTCCAAACAGTATGAAACGTTTTCAGTTGCAGGTCCTTTCAGTCCTACTGCAGGCCAAATAGGAGGAGCAGTGAAGTTATCTGTCTCCTACCGTAATGGTACTCTTTTCATCATGGTGATGCACATCAAAGATCTTGTGAGTGATTACACATATTGGTGCTTATAGAAGTAATTTATATCTTGGTAGGAAATATTACTGTTAAGGGACTGCTTTTCTTTCTAGGTTACTGAAGATGGGGCTGACCCAAATCCTTATGTCAAGACATACCTACTTCCAGATACTCACAAAACATCCAAACGTAAAACTAAAATTTCACGAAAAACTAGGAATCCAACATTCAATGAAATGGTAAGTTAAAATAATTTCTAAAGGGTTTATTTGCTTTTGGGGGTTTTTTAATTTTAAATTGAATATTTTTAGATATCAGTTCTTGAATTATCCCATGTACTAGAAAAGTAAATCAGTAGCAGTTCCTTGGATGTTTAACAAAATGATGCAGAATAAAACTATCAGTAATGAACCTTTTGGTTTTAAAAAGGCTTTAAGGGCCATAAGATTGAACAGTCCTAATCCTTAGAACTATTTTATCCCAATCCCAAAAAGTGGTTCTCCAATCTCTGCTTAAAAACTTCCAAGCTATTCAGTCGATCTTAAGTAACTCCAACTTTTAGAAGATAATGTTTTTACTAAACTGAAATCTTTATTCCCTATAATTTGTACCCGCTAGTTATTCCTCTTAGTGTACCACACAGAACTTCTTCTACAGAGTACACACTTTCATGTCTTCTACATGGTTGTCTTTCAAATGATTGATATTCAGTTTCTTCTATTAAAATATCTTTAATACCTCTAGCTTCATTTGACAAGACAAAAATTTTAAAAATATTTTCACAATCCGAGTCATTCTCCTTTGAATATATTTCACTCTGTTGTAAAAGTGCCATAGATATGAAGGCAGCAGTGTCTGATCTCCACTAAACTTCAAAAGGAGAAGAATCCTCATCAATGACATTATTAGTTAGCCTTGTTCCTGTGAGATGAGGCATCTATCTCATTCATTCATTCATGCTCTAAACCTTCTCTAACAATTCTAAACACCAGCCGTCTCTCCTCTGACATTACTTCTCTGCTGGGTTCAAGAATCTGTGCCAGTTACTTAATAGTTTGTTTCACACAAAACTCAGAGACAAAACAACATTATGGAGTTCATTAGAGAAATCTTAAAAGGTTGTAACTCAGGTTCTCGACCACTCAGCTACAGTTGTTCAATCAGGAAAACCTCTTTTCATCCTTACCAAAAGTCAGGCCTCAATCCCTTTGCCCTTTTGAGCCAACCAGTGCTAATTATGTGCCCACTGGCACCTCCACTCTGCTATTAAGCCTAGATCAGAAGGTGGTTAGCTCTAGCTCTGAGTTGACAAATGTGGCTCGCTGACAAATGCCTGAGGGCACTCACTCTGCTAATAAGCACTCAGCTTCCTCACTTGATATCAAGGCTGGGAGCCCACCAGTCTGTCAGATCTCAAGTCTAAAAGGATGTGTGATACTCTGGATGTTCTTTCATGACGGTAGAGAGACTGCCCCATTTTCCATCTCTTCTGTGGCTCAAGTTTAAATATGGCTGACAGTAAAACTGACTATTCTCCATGTTAATATTATATACATATAATTTTCTTGGCTTTATCTTATTTACATTTTTGGTAAACTTTTGAGTTCCTCTGGCAGGCTATAGAAACCTCATATTTACCTAGCTCTGCCTGTCTTTGTGGTAGGAGTATTACAAAGACTATGGCTTAGAATAGGTGTATGTGTAATACACTGCACTGTAGTCACTAACCCTCTTAAAATAAGAGTGCTCAAAACTGAAAGCAATAAGCAAAGCATCAACTGCTCTCCGTGGGACAGAACTCTGACTTTGAGCACTGTGGCATTTGGACAAGAACAAACTGGGAGGAGGGTAGAGAGATAGTGCAACAATGAATGAATGGAAACCCAAAATCTCTGTAAATGTTTATGAAAATTAATAAAATATAATTATAGGAAAAACAAACAAACAAAAAGAACTCTGACTTTGCTAGCATACTTACATTGAACTACTCACAAACTTACTGTTAAAACCTACTAGAGTTTTGGAGGCTTTTTTTTTCACTCTTCCAGCTATTTCCATTTGAATAAACATACTTTTGGTATACAGTAACATTGTTAGTGATGGGTGCCAAGTCTGTTCCAACTCAGGGACCCCGTGTTCAACAGAATGAAGCATTGTCCGGTCCTGAGCCGTCCTCACAGCCGTTACTGTGTTTGAGCCCACTATTGTAGCCACTGTCAGTCCATCTCACTGATTTCCTACTTTACTAAGCATGATGCCCTTCTATAGCGACTGGCCGGTTAGATAACATTATATCCACATAAAAATGTCTGCAAAGAGATGAAGGCAAATTATCTTAAATTTTAAAATAATGGAAGATCTTTTCAGCCTTAAAAGTTAATAGAATGCTTTGTGAAGACCAGTCTTATCCTTAAAAAGTAGTACTGGCAACACCAACCTCCCACTCACCCTTGTCAGTTCACGTCATATTGGAAAGAAAATGAAATGTGGGTTTTGTTTGTTTGTTATTTTAACCAAAAAAGATTAGAGTAAGGAGTAATAGTTTCTCAGATTTTGTGGTGAAGATTTTGGGAGATGGGGCTAGATCCTAAGTTAAGTGTTGAATATGATGTTAGAAACTTTCAGTTTTTGCAACACTCCAGATTTTCTGTTAACTAAATTTAAATTGGTGAGTTTATGTTGAATTATGAACAATGAGAAACCTTCATCTCATGACATATAAAATCTAGCAGAAAAGACCAACAAAGATTTTAATCCTGCCCATTTTAGTAGGATAATTACAGTTGTCGTGTTCCTGTTTGCTTTCTTCCATTTCCAACTAGCAGATCATCTAATGCTTTGTTACTGTTAGATGCCATCAGATGACTTCAACTCATAGCAACTCTGTGAACAATTAATTGACACCTTACCCTATCCTGCACTCGTTAGGCATGTGTTGTTGATGTGTGCTGTTAAGTGGACCCTCTAGTTAGTTTTCAGATGCAGTTAATTGCCTGTAAGAGATTATCCATCCTTCTGCTGCAGAGCTGCTGGTGGATTCAAACTTCGTGTCTTTGGAATTGCAGTGCAGCTTCTTAACAGTACGCTACCAGAGCACCCTTTTCTAACTACCTCTATCTCAGATAAAAACATGTTTGGTTTTTTTTTTTACTGTGTTCATTTCTTTGACAGGCACCCAAAGAATCTAGGACTCCTGAAATAGAAAATGTGCTTTTAAAATATTGACATTGAGTCCACCAAATGTTTCATAAGCAATGTCACTGATTTGTGGCCATCTCTCAGCTAATATTCTCATTTAAAATGTTGCAAAAAACCCACAAACAACTGTAACTAATTTACGGCTTCATTTTTCCCCTTTGCCCTAGCTTGTGTACAGTGGATACAGCAAAGAGACTCTAAAACAGAGGGAACTTCAGCTAAGTGTGCTCAGTGCAGAATCTCTGCGGGAGAATTTTTTCTTGGGTGGAATAACCCTGCCTCTTAAAGATTTCAACTTGAATAAAGAGACAGTTAAGTGGTATCAGCTGACTGCAGCAACCTATTTGTAACCTAGAGAATTTCTGAGCTATGGAAGGAAGAATAATTAGAAATGTGTGAACATACAGGCTATGCGCAGATGTGAATTGTGTATTTCAACACTTTGAAGAGTGACAAAACTAACTTTTATGAGTTTATGGAAGCCATTTCTGTTTCAAATTATAATATAGAATGATACAGACCTTAACCTTAATGTGTCATAAGTCTTTTGAAAATGTCTTTTGAATTGGTGAAGGTTTTAAAGCTCACTTGAGTAAATCAGAGTAATAGCTTTAGTTTGGTCTGATAGTGCTGTGTCATTTCAGCCACCTGGTTTGCATTGTTTCATATACTTGACACAGTGTGTTCTCCTGTTATGCACCTTTGCAGCCTTTACCACTGTGTATGTTCCCAAACACCAAAGGAAAGGAAAATTGTGGATGTTGATTATATAATGCAGCTGCTATTTACAAGACTGAAAAAGCACAAATAACACAGCTATGTTCAGGACTACTATTTAGAAAAGTAGGGGGGAAATAATACTGCTTTTTATTATTCATAACTTTAAAGCCTTTTTCAGAATAAGTGCCAATTACTGAAGTTGTAAATAATGGTGCCTTAACTTCATGTATTTATTTCCCTGGCACTTCATTTCTGATGATTTTTCCTGACTTTTGGTAATTAAATAGTTTCCACTCACTTTGAATTTATTATAGACAAGAAATTATGTATATTTACAAATGTTCTTTCCCACAGAAAGGTCATTCTTGACTTATGATTTAGTCAAACCATGTAATTTAAGACTGTTACCCACTAACAAAATAACCTTGTCCTATCCTTTGCCATATTCACAGTCCTTGTGTCAACACCTGTCAACACAAGTATTTCAACACATATTCAAGAGTCACAAAACTAACTTTTATGAGTTAGTTGTCTCCTCTATCTTTGTAGTGACATTTTGCTCTATCAGCACAGGGTAAGACAGTGTTCAGATCTGTTGTCATAGGGTTGCTGTGAGTCATACTTGATGTCACTGAGCCACAACAGCATGATCTAGGATAATGTCACTGTTGTAAGATTAGATCCCCAACAGGATGGATTGACATGGTGATGATAGCAATTGGCTGAAGTCTGTCAGATAGTGAGGATGGCACAAGATAGGACAGAATTCAGATCTGTTATTCATAGGGTTGCTATGAGTTGTACTCGACTCGACAGCACCTAACAACAACAGAGTAAAACTGGTTAATGTAGTTGTACGTTGTCAGAAATGATGAGAATGGCACAGGATAAGACAGGGTTCAGATCTGTTGTTCAGAGGATAACTGTACAATGACGACGTTATGTTCCATCATTCCATTATAATCTGACATTTATTCCTAGTAGTGTAACTTGAAGTTTAATTATTTTGCCTCTATATGCTTATGCTCCACTTCTTCATTGAACAAGTGAAAATTTTTCACCTGTCTACCCATCCATTCCTGTTTGCTATTAAGAATGCTGTGCGTTGGACGGAAGGACGAAGCCCAAGGCAAAGAATTCTTTGGTTTAGACTGAATTCAAGTGTAGACATTTGTAGAGAAGTTTATTTTGTAAAAGCTCTTAGTCAAATTTGTAAACACTGTACATCCATATGTAAGGATTTTCCTTTCTTTAGCAAGATTCAGAATTAAAAAGGGCATGACTGTAATTATTCTTTAGTAGCCAAGTAAGATTCATATTAGTCGCTTAGCTTAACAAATAAATCATGTTTAGTTTGGATAAATATGTACATATAATCCTCCTGGGGCGAGGATACAAAGTCAGACAGGTTTTTAATAGCATGAGAGGTAACAGCAGTCTCATTGCTGCAAGGTAACGGACAGATACGCAGTAAAGAGCAATAAGAGAGATGGGAAACATCTCATTCTGATCTCATGTTGCTCAGAAGACAATTTTTATGAATTGTGCACACAGTTAATTTAAATTGTGATAGTTGAAAAATTCAAGATATAGCAGAAGTTTAAGAAACTTGACGTTTTTGGTGCCTAACACTAAAGGTCCATTTTGTAGGGAAAATCCATGAGAATGAGTTGGGTTTTTTTTTCCCTTAACTGCTAATCTATTTCCTGTTAACACATTAACTCAAGTGTATGTCTGAGTATACCTCTGTTTTCTTTTTTCACATCCATTTAACATTTTCTTAAAGTTTGTAAGTAGCTTTACAAATGGAGAGACTGCCTGTATAGATGATGTTTTTGAGACCTGATTCCATTCCATCCGTTGTTAGTTGGCCATGAAAAGAAGTATCTTGGTAAAAAATATCATTGTTAATTGGACTCAGTGTGTACTTGCCTTTTGTAATTTTAAAGTCTTTAGTGCAAATCACAGAGCTAGAAAAGATATCACTTTGCATTTATGTGAAATCTGGCTTCTTATCTAAAAGTGTATGTATGTAATGATTAATACTGTACAGTTAACTAGACTTCAGTAGTAATTCTGTGCTGTTTTCTGTTATTATAACTCATTGTTTGCTTTTTTTGGTCATAAAATGTACACATAAGTTATTTCTTGTGGAACTAATCTTCAGCCTTTACCAAACAGACAAAAAAAGGACAGAGGAGCCTCTTGACACTACTACTACCAAGAGATTTTCAATCAATAGAATTTTTTAAAAGTTTTTTTTAAAGCTTGCCGTAATGTAACAGTTTCCATAAACTGGCTAGTTTTATGTATAAACATAATGTTTTATACTTATTTTGTGTAAAAGTTACCATACTACATGTAAGCCCTACACCAGAACCAGAAGAATCATTTCCTCTTGCTAGTGTTTTGGGATTTGAAGATATTTTACTCCAAAACTTACTATGTTCTGTACTGAGGAACTCAATATAAAACTTGCACTGACGTTTTTATTATTATCTTTCTATAAACCTATAGTATCTGAAGGTTAACATATGTATGACTTTGGATAAGGTATTCTTTTGTCTTTTTTAAATGAGAGTTATATAAAAATGACATTATCTTGCCTTAAATTGCTTGATTGTTCTTTTTAGGATTAAAGTATTGTTATATTTAAAAAAGAACACTCATTTTTTATAATTAAACTTCAGATCAAGAAAAGACTGAAGTCTCATATTTCTTTAGATTAACTTACGTGCTATTTGACTAGCAATGCAAATATGAATGAATATCATAATTTGTTTCAACCAAATACTTTAGTTCTATTAAAGTAGTGAATAAAGATGTATAATATTTTTATTAATACCTTGAATATATTCCATGGATTGAATGTGACTTTATAGCTGTACTTTGATTGTATTAAACTATTTCTGAATTAAGGAATTCCATTATTTATTTCCTTATCTGCCTATATTTTGGTTTAGATTTAATATGAGTTTATTGTTACTGTCTTCTTCATCTTAGCCAGAACACTTTACACATTTTTAACCCTAAATTTTGAAAGTAGCTTGTATGCACATCAAAAAACTTCTCCAACAGGGTAAAAAGGAAAGCCACACACTAGGAAAAAATACTTGGTAATGACATGTCTGAGAAGGTACTTATATCTAGAATTTATAGAATACTCCAGTACCTCAACAAGATAAAAAGTAACCCAGTCACAAAATGGGGAAAGGATATGAACATTTCGTCAAAGAAGACACTCAGATGGTGAACAAACACATGAAGAAATGTTCAAAATCACTAGCTCTAAGAGAGAGGCAAATCAAAACAATCATCTCACCCCAGTAACAATAGCAACGTTCAGCAGAGCAACAAACAGCAAATGCTGGTGAGGTTGTAGAGAAATTAGAATCTTTATTCACTCTTGGTAAAATGGTGTAACAACTCTGGAAAGTAGTATGGCTCTTTCTCAAAAGGTTGGAAATAAAAATACCATTTGACCCAGCAATTGCACTACTGGGAATATACCTTAAAGAAACCAGAATTTCCACCCAGACGGATATATGCACACCTATTTTATTGCTGTGTTTACAATAGTATAGACATGGAAGCAATTCAGTGTGCATCAACAAATGGATAGAGAAGCTGTGGTATATTCACATAATAGAATACTATGCAGCACTGAAAAAACAAGGAACTCATGAAATATTATACAAAATGGGTGACAATGGAGGACATTATGCTGAGTGAAATATTTCAGTTACAAAATGACAAATACTGCATAATGCCACAATAATAAAACAGGACTGACATAGGAGGTTGGGGGGAAATCCTCAAAGAAAGGAGGGGGTAAATAATAAACATTGCATTGGAACACATGAGGGAAAAATTGTTTAAAAGGAATATATG